CTTCAAGAATCGCGCTAAACAAACGCTATAACAACGAACGTCAATAATACTTCTGACTGCAGTTCAATTACTCAATATCTACACACACATTACATTACCTCTCGCGTCACGCTGTCCCTTCTTATATATACCCGCCTACCCCATCTAGCAAATACTAGAGCATTCATGAAAAAACAAGATAGTTCTAGAAAATAGAGGGCGCCACACCAGTCACGTGACCTCGATGACGCAACAACGACATCAATTCCACATCAATTTACCGAAAAAAGACTCCCTGGTCTCCTTACACACTTTGATAGCTTTATCCCGTTTACGTATAAACGAAACCTTGTTACATGCTTACTAAACAGAGCTTACAACCTGTGCTCCACATATCTTAATCTACACTTTGAAATTTCGTTCTTACATGACATCCTGAAACGTAACTGCTATCCACAACACTTATTAGAAAACATTACCAACACCTTCCTAACAAAGAAACTCACAAATCCAATTAAGATACCAACTGTACCCAAACTTACTATATACTCGTGTCTTCCCTATACTGGCAAACAAAGCTTAAATTTAAAAAAATCACCTTAAACGCATACTTTGCGTTGCTAGGCGCTGGCACAATTCGATTTGACAGTGTCCCTATTTAGTGTCTTGAAAAATCAGAATAGAAAACCATCATCAATATCATACTGAAACGCCGAAAATTTCCTCCCCTATTGGCCCGAGCCCCGAATCTTTTAAGCAGCTAGTGACACCTCTGGTCAGCAGTAAGTTCACGAGCTTACAATGTTAAAATTCAGGGCTCGATTCTCTCGTTGGGCAGAGCTTTGTGTATCTTTACGCTTAAAAACAACTGACATTCAACTCGGAACGTCTGCTGCTGTTCACTGTCGAGATATTATTGAACCTTTTTGCTACGTTTAAGTATCCTGTATGAGACAGTTTTTGATCTGTGAAAATCGATATTGTGAGTTTGAAAGTAGGCTTATCTCTTGATTTATGAGACATATCAAAACATTCACATCGATGTCATTTATAATACATAAATGAATTTTCAAATAACAAAACACGTCAGATTAATAAACCTCGATTATATAACATGGGTGGCGTTTATAAACTTCTAATATGCCTGCCATATACAATACTTGTAATACATTCGTATTAAATCTATCAAAGTCGAACGTTAGATAAACAGAAAAAGAGGTCGCTGTACGCGAGTGAAACCCTAACAACAAAGAAATCACGCGTTAGGTAGAACACACGACAAAAGCAGGTGGTAGAACAACTCCGTTACGTTTTTTATATAGACATTGACTTTTAATTTATCGTAAGATTATAAGAAAGAACTCTACTATTTTATGAACAAAAAAGTTTTTTCGCCTGATTACTGCATGAAAAGCATTTTATTTTCACGAAACAAATTAAACTCGTTTGTTCTATATATCAATATACACTTTTGTGTGTTTGAGTTGAATGTTTGAAGATAGCAGAAGTAATTACTCAGTAAGTTACTGTGCTTTTTTTCCGTTGACTGCCCAATACAGTTTAATTATTTATTCTTATGTGAAGAATTTTAACAGAAGCCGGCTTTACGCTACCCATAGTTACCGCATTCGCTTGGCACGGTTACATCCCCTAACGACAACGCCAATCGACGCAGTCTCCACGCTAACGCAAGTCGCTAACGTCAGTGGACCAGAACAACGAACCATACCCGTGTGAGTGTAAAAGGGGAAGAAGATTGTCTGTCGTTAGACCTCCTCCGTAAGTTTACAATTAACTTTAATTTTTACTTTGTCGTATTTTATAGTTCATTCTTTCAATGTAAAATTTCGTTATTTAGCTCTAGTGTTATATTTTTCTCTCTTAATTAATAAGGAGTTTCCAATAGATATTCTTTGTGTGTGTTTCATTTCGAATTTCAAGTGAAACGCCTAACCGTTTGTGTAGACTCATAAGTTAGATATGAAGCAAGTTGATTTTTAGTTTTCTACAACTTTTAACTTGTCTAAGTAGTTAGCTTGTGATCAAATCGAAAGTTAATATTAATTACATTTTTAGAATGACGTTTTACTATACAGAGCTTAAGCAATAAGATTTCGGTTGCCGATAGACAATAGGCCTAAATTAACGACAATAATTTATATAAAATCTAGTATTTGAAAATATCGGGATCAATAGTGGGATTTAATTTAACTTAAGTTTCACTTTTAATTTCCTTATCAATTTCAGTGAAAATAATATTTTAGGAAAAAAATATCAATATTAAAAGCTTTTTAGTTTTAGCTTTATTTAATGACGAAAAGAAAAAAATTATCAAGAAAATTAACATTAAAATTTATAATACTAATAAACTGAATTAAAAAAAACGTTTAACTTAAAAAACAAACAAACCCAGAATTAAGTAGGAGAGTGGCAAGGTCTCTTAAAATGTTGAAATGTTTAGGACCAAGTTGGTAAAAAAAACAAGAAGAAAACTTTGTGCTGGTTTTTACCACACAATCCATATAAAAAATACCATAATCTCATATGACATACATAATGCCCAGATAATAAATTGAAGTTTAAAATAGTATCAGCCCAGCAATATCAGTGAAAGAAAATGTCATAATTGAAACTTCACACCACTTTTGAAGGGTAAAGTGGCTTCATGTAATTTTAGGATGCATACACAAACACAACCCCTTATTATACTCATTCTTTAAGAATGTGCAACATTGAGAAGCAAAAAATCTGAGTGTGAAATTGACCTGGAAAGCTGAATAGCCTTAAACTGTTAGTGTTACAGGATGAAAAAGAGTACAAATGTGTATTTATAAACACATCCTAAAAGCTACACAGCATTTAGAAGTGATTGGTATGGTTCATGTATGTTAATAAATATTGAAACATGAACTAATTAACATAGCAAGCTATATTAAAGTTTTCAGTGTGGAGAAAAATGGTTAAATGCATATTAAAGCTACACAAGAACATATTTTGAAGTGTGATACCACTGAATGACTGTAAAGCTTGCAATTAGAGAATTAGACATTAATGAATTAAAGAGGTAGCAGTGTCTGTTTGCAGCTATTTGTGAAAAGCTTTCATTATCTTGTTACCTTATGATCAGAGCAAGTTATTCACTTAGATTAAAAATGAAAATCAACCTGGTAATGAATATATCTAATTAAGTTCTGTTATTATAATTTTACCTGTACTATGCATTGTTTCATCATTTAGGTACCTCTCTGTTAACAAAATTTTCTTACATAGTTTATTTTACATTGAGTAAAATTATAGATTCACGATAAAGTTAATTAGATTGTTTTCAAGAGATTGTAGTATTATCCTACTTTTAAGTGGAAAATTATTTATACACATTATTTTAGCCTCTGGCAAGCAACTTTTATGTTTGTTTTTATTAACTTCATTGTATATGTTATGTTCAACCTATTATCCATATCTCAGACCAGCTAAATTATCTTTAAAATGAATAATCAGACAATCAGACCAAGTAACACTATATTTAGAATAAATAATCAGACCAGCTAACACTATATTTAGAATAAATAATCAGACCAGCTAACACTATATTTAGAATAAATAATCAGACCAGCTAACACTATATTTAGAATAAATAATCAGACCAGCTAACACTATATTTAGAATAAATAATCAGACCACCTAATGCTATATTTAGAATGAATAATCAGACAAGCTAACACTATATTTAGAATGAATAATCAGACAAGCTAACACTATATTTAGAATGAATAATCAGACAAGCTAACACTATATTTAGAATAGATAATCAGACCAGCTAACACTATATTTAGAATAAATAATCAGACAAGCTAACACTATTTAGAATGAATAATCAGACAAGCTAACACTATATTTAGAATGAATAATCAGAACAACTAACAATGTATTTTGAATGAATAATCAGAACAACTAACAATGTATTTTGAATGAATAATCAGAACAACTAACAGTGTATTTTGAATGAATAATCAGAACAACTAACAATGTATTGTGAATGAATAATCAGAACAACTAACACTGTATTTTGACTAAATAATCAAAACAACTAACACTGTTTTAGAATAAATAATCAGAACAACTAACACTATATTTTGACTAAATAATCAAAACAACTAACACTGTTTTAGAATAAGTAATCAGACCAGCTGACACCATATTTAGGATATACAAATAGACCAGCTAACACTATATTTAGAGTGAATAATCAGAACAGCTAACAGTATTTAAGATAAATAATCAGACCAGCTAACTATAATTAGAGTGAATAATCAGATCAGCTAACACTATTTAGAATAAATAATCAGACCAGCTAACACTATATTTAGAATAAATAATCAGACCAGCTAGCTATAATTAGAGTGAATAATCAGACCAGCTAACACTATATTTAGAATGAATAATCAAAATAGCTAACACTATATTTAGAATGAATAATCAGAACAGCTAACACTGTGTTTAGAATAAATAATAAGATCAGCTAACACTGTGTAGAATAAATAATCAGACCAGCTAACACTATATTTAGAGTGAATAATCAGACCAGCTAACACTATATTTAGAATTAATAATCAGAGCAGCTAACACTGTGTTTAGAATAAATAATAAGATCAGCTAACACTGTGTAGAATAAATAATCAGACCAGCTAACACTATATTTAGAATGAATAATCAGAACAGCTAACACTATATTTATAGTTAATAATCAGACCAGTTAACACTATATTTAGAATAAATAATCAGACCAGCTAACACTATATTTAGAATAAATAATCAGACCAGCCAACACTGTGTTTGGAATAAATAATCAGACCAGCTAACATTATATTTAGAATAAATAATCAGACCAGCTAACACTGTGTTTGGAATAAATAATCAGACCAGCTAACATTATATTTAGAATAAATAATCAGACCAGCTAACACTATATTTAGAATAAATAATCAGACCAGCTTACACTATATTTAAAATAAATAATCAGACCACCTAACACTATATTTAGAATAAATAATCAGACCACCTAACACTATATTTAGAATGAATAATCAGACAAGCTAACACTATATTTAGAATAGATAATCAGACCAGCTAACACTCTATTTACAATAAATAATCAGACCAGCTAACACTGTATTTAGAATAAATAATCAGACCAGCTAACACTATATTTAGAATAAATAATCAGACCAGCTAACACTATATTTAGAATAAATAATCAGACCAGCTAACACTCTGTTTACAATAAATAATCAGACTAGCTAACACTATATTTAGAATAAATAATCAGAACAACTAACGCTATATTTAGAATGAATAATCAGACAAGCTAACACTATATTTAGAATGAATAATCAGACAAGCTAACACTATATTTAGAATGAATAATCAGACAAGCTAACACTGTATTTAGAATGAATAATCAGACAAGCTAATGCTATATTTAGAATAGATAATCAGACCAGCTAACACTATATTTAGAATAA